ATATATATATATATATATATATGTGTGTGTGTGTGTGTGTGTGTGTGTTTTAAAGCATTTCACCCCCAGCAAGGTGAGAACATCTCTGCTTCGCAGGTGGTTACATAGAGTGAACTTGAGAGAAAACCTGTGTCTAGGGGGCATGGGGAAGGGATAAAAGATGAACAGAGTTCAAGACATCAGAAGATGGCGATTGACGTTGCATATGAATTTTTGAATCGTAGTTATCAAGGAAGCAAGTAAGCGGAAGGTAATTTCACAGACGGGAAGTGCAAGAAAAGAAGCTTTGGGAGTAGATGTGGCGGTTACATTTAACTATTTCAACAGTAAAAGGGTGGGACCTAAACGCCACTCTAGTAGCACGCTTAAATGTTTATAGTCGGGGCACCAGGGGGTGGGGAAGCTCGACAGAACAATAGCCCTGAAAAAATTTGTAGAAAAGAGTGAACCTACATCACGTCTGGTAGAAAGTTACTGGAGTCGAAATGTCAGGCCAGGTTCGATTACATTGCAGATCCTTCTTTGGATTTAGTTGAGAATCTCGAGATGAACATTTGGGGTACCAGACATTTCTTGGTAACAGTACTTAATGCATTACTACCAGTGGTTTTCAACCAGGGTTCTGCGGAACCCTAGCATTCCGCCAGTAATGCCCAGGGGTTCCGTAAGAAGTTACACAAGTACTATCATTGACAGTAATTTTTATTGCAGGGGTTCCTCGAGCCACGGGAATGTTTCCTTGTGGTTCCGCTCCAGCAAAAAGGTTAAAAAACCACCGGCATAGACGAATGGTAGATTTGTAGATATGTAGGATGGACTCTGATGAGAAAAAAAAACTTCTGGCACAACACAGTGAGTCAACATTTCGAGCCTAAAAGCTTTAACAAAATATAATAACAATTCTTTAAATATCAATACAGGTCATTATTTAAAGAACTAAGAGAGTAAAAATGGAAATATTTGAAGTTGAAAAGTGATTGCAATTTATTGAAGCTTACGTTAAATAAATGAGAGCATTATTGCCTTCTCTTACTTCCATATCTTCCTTCTCTTCCTGATCTTTCATTTCCTATCTCTTCCTTTCGTTTTGGAACAACATCTTGAAGACGTCAATTCCGTCATTTTTCACGGATTAAAAACGGAATATTCCATCATTTATGGCGTATTGATAGGACGTAAGGTATGTGCTAACTAAATAAGTGTTATAGCATACCTGCGGACGATAATGGATATGTATCCATTTACATAAATGCAGTAGTAAATACTGTATGTTGGTCTGCAGTTGAAGACCCATCTAGTGCTAGCCAAACTCTCTGCCTCCGGGCAGAAAGGATCCCCAGACGAGGCTATGTCGAAGGGCAGGGTTTCGTCTCGAGAAACAGCTACCCGACGCCGTTTTATGAGGGGTCTACAGGGAAATTTTAACCAAGCCTACGGGCATCGAATATCCCACATTAAATTCGGCCTTGTGTCATATATGACCGTCTGGGGCAGTTGGTAGATATCCTAGAGTTGGACATTCATTGTGGAATTCATTTCTAGCAGTTGACTACTTCTACGCCTCGGTAGCGAATCTTATATGTGTTGTTCTTGTCCTAAGTATTATTGTTCATTACCAACCTTCGTTTGATTATTCTATTCAGTAACCTTCCCTAGGTTATAACAAGTAACTAAATAATAATAATAATAATAATAATAATAATGATACTCAAGAAGTATTAAAAATAAGTTGTAGTAGTTGTAGTAGTGGCAATGTTATTAATACGAATAAAAACACTGCCACCTCCACCAACGCCAACATTATCTCAGAGTAAAACTGAAGAAACTCAAAATGCTATGAAACATGAGCGTGGCAGTTTCACCCATCGTTACTAGAGCACTTGGAATAGTTCCAAAAAGCCTTACAAAAAATCAAACTGTATTCCAAAATATAACTTCAACAAAACTACAACATAAAATCCATACATATCGCTGCCTTTAGTAATTATATTCACACAAACATGTGTATGCCCAAAAGCGGAGTATCATCTACCATGTATTCAATTGTAAAAGAAGAATAACATATATCATATTTTGATTACCTCAAAGCTCCCAAGAAAATTAAACTTCAGCATTGAATTACCCATAAGGAGTTGATATGCCATTAAACAGACAAATGAATCAATCAACATCAGTTTCACCCATCATTACATGAGCACTTAAACAATTCCAAAAAAGCCTTACAAAAATGTTGTAGAATCTGGAAAACCAAGAAAGAATCATGACCCCTCAGACGAAATTGCTGTCACTTGGTCTCAGGGTAAAATTTACGCTTACAAATCTATATATAATCAAAGAGCTGATCATCTGTCCGTCCCACACTGCCTGCGTGTGACTGCGCATGCGCGTTTCTAATGTGACTGGGTATGTCTGTGTTGTGCGTGATTGACTTACACGAGCTTGTTTAATTTAATCTACGCACAACCCCATGAGTATACGCACATACGCACACAATTGTATTGAGTTTGAAATAAGACATTGGAATAATACAAAAAGAAAAAAAATACTTAATTTTTAAACCCTAAAATATAAAAAATATCAAAAGAATTTATTGAACTTTTCAGAAATTATTCGCTAATAAATAGAATAATTTAATATTTTATTGAATTTTATAGAAATCTTTTTAGAAATGTCATTGCATTAAAATATGCATTCGCAAACGTGAATAATGTTTTTTACAATCATATTCATCTTGTACAAGGCTCGAAATCCACTCGAGATAGCTGGTTATAGAGTATGAGTTTACGCGAATATGTGCGGAAGGTAAAGGTTAACCCTATATTTCAACAGGTTAAGATTGCTGTGAGCGGATGAGCATCCAATTGGGATTCGGTTCTTCAAAGCAGCCGTTCGTGAAAAGAAGCTGCTCTAGTAGAACTTACATCCCACTAATGGAATGCGAATGGAATAAGGGTGATTGATTATAATATCTGTGACATATCGGGTTTTAGCCGTGAAGATTAGAACTGGCGGAATTAAGGAATATAATTCATGTGAGAACTTTCCATGGAAGTAGAGATAGAAAAACGAGGGGCTTCCGACGTTTCCTCTGCGAAACAAAGGATTGCAGGGTGGAAAATACACACAATATGAATGAAGCTGAAAGAGATATCTGTGGGGGAAAAGATAATTTCCATTTCTGTCTGTTAACAACAACTAGGTAACAAGAAAAGACTGCAATCTAAAAAAAAATGCTCCCATCTTTACGGCTCCTTCTGTATTTTAACTGAATATAATTTTAATAAATATAATATTGCATTTCAAAGGAACGAAAATTTTAGATTTAAAATTTCTTTATCTTGCAGTTAGCGAAATATTAACGAACAAGTAAATAGAATAACTGATAATTGCTCTACGTATATATATATATATTTTCCATTCCATTCCATTCGTTAATTTAATTTACACGATTTTATATATTTTATTACCAGAAAAATAAACTTGATAAGTCCTGGGACGAAACTGGTTGTTTTTTTTAGCTTTAAAAAGAAATGCCTCGTAAATTTTGCCTTTTCCATAGCTATTATTAAATTATGTACCACAAGAAACTTATTTGAATATATATATATATATATATATATATATATATATATATATATATATATATTACAAAAAAAAAATACCTCAACATAGGATCGATGCATTCATTTTAACAGAGCATTTTGAGGTAATTTTGGGTTATTTGCCGTAAAAATACACATGGTGTTATAATAAATACATCAAGCGTGGACCAGTTTTAATAATTAATATTACAAGGATCCACCTGGATTAAATACCAATGCATATATATATATATATATATATATATATATATATATATATATATATATATATATATATATATATATATATATATGGTGCGTGTGTGTGTGTGTGTGTCTGTATTTTCGGTATGTTATATTTATGTGTTAAAATGTTTGATGTCAGGTATAGAGTCTATATAAGTATAAAAGTGGACACTGAGGTCAACATTCAGCGGCGACTGTCTGTTTCATGCTTAAAAGCAATCTTCAGTTGAAGATTTTGTTTTAGCATAAAACAGATGAGCGCTGGCCTCAATGTCTACATAGACACACACACACACACACACACACACACACACACGTGTGTGTGTGTGTGTTTCTGACTTTATTGAATTACATGTAATATGAATACGAAGATGGTGGTATTGATATTTTGAATGTAACTATAGTGAGCTTTTGTCCTAACAGTTGTAATAAAATATTTGCTCAAACAGAAACTAATACCTACTAATAATAGGAGTAGTAATACTATTACTAAAACTCTGACTGGAAGAAACATCATTGAATTCGTACTAGTGATAGCATCGTTTTGTAGTGGTAGTGACAATAGTAGTTTTATCAGTACAAGAAATATCATTGTCCTTTCTCGTGGAAACTGCCCTGCTATCGTAGACAAAGCTATTCATTGTATAAGCACATAATTGTGTCTATACGTATGTTCTGATTATTAAAATATATATATTTATTTTGATTATTTTTTAGGCAAATATTTAATTCCAAATTGAATAAATTCTCTGATGGGTGAATTCGACTCTTTATTTTGATGTTTTAAAATCGAATTTCAATTCATATAGAAATGATATATAAATTTTGTTTATCAGACTAATGGTGAGTCATTGAATGACAAAATGGAAACTTCTTCTATGTTACACGTTTCGTTCTTCTAAAGGACTTCTTCAGAATAATAATATTTTTTCGAGGTAGTTATAGATACAAAGTTGGAGAAGAAATACAAAAAAAATGTCGTTTACTGTTATAATTGTCTTTAACCTGAAAAAAACTTTTCGAAAGAAGACATTATTTTCTCATTTTTTTACAATAAAGTTCACCCTGTACAAGGCCCAACGGCCACTCGAGGTAGGACTTTACATTAAGGGATAGTTTATAGGAGGTGAAGGTTTCAGAGCCGTTATACATTACACCACCCACACATCCAAGATTACAGCACCTGGTATTCTCGAGTGGTCACCCATCTACGTACTAACCAGGCACAACGTTGCTTAACTTCGGCGATCGTAACGGAACCGGTGTTTTAACGTGATGTAGCCGTAAGCCACTCTAGCCTTGGTTGGTAGCCAGTCTAGGAAAAGGAAAACTATGAATTCATACCAGTCTGAGGAAGGATGGTCTTCATCATGTTATCTTGCCTTAGATACATCAATGTTGCTATGGCTGCAGTACATGTGGTGCACTTTTTTTAGAGTAATGTTCACCTCGTACATGGCCTACGAGCCACTCGGGGTAGAGGGTTACGGAGTAAGAACTAAGAGGCAGAGTTTATGAGGATATGTGAGGAAGATAACGGTTAAATTTAGTCTTGAAGAGGTTAAGATTGGATCAGGGAAACATCCTCTTGAGAGTCTGTCCCACAGAGTAGGGGTTCGCGGAAATAAGCAGTTCGGGTAGAACTTACTTTTCACCGATGAAATACAGAGGGATTATGCTACAATGTCAGTGGCATGGCGGGTCCTAACCGTGAAGTTGAAGGGTGGAAAATTATTCTTCTCCCAAAAGGACTCGGAAACGATCGCTGACTCAATCAAGACTAGAAAGTAAGGATTTGGCAGCTCCAGTCCAAATATGCCAACAGTACTCCATGTTCGGCCTGATCTGGCTCATATAGAGCTAGAGGATAATTTGAGGAGTCAGGTACGTACTAAAGTGTATATAAATATATAAATAAAATATATAAAAGGACTTTATTCAATCTCCTTTTGTTCAAAATTACACGCTTTTACGTTTTGAGATATAAATTTTATCAAAGACTGCATATAAGGAAATAATCAGATATCACCGTGTTTAATTTTTTGTGTGTGATTAGAGCCTGAACTGGTGTGACATTGCGGCAGCTGTTTTCTTCCTCTTCTCTCTCTATTTCTAATTATTGGAACTGTAGCAGCAGTAAAAGTACAGCAATGTATATTTCCCACATTTGTTTTATACTACTGAACTTCGGAGGTAACAGTTGGCCACGTTTAAGCCTGACTTGTGTTAGTGTAATGGTTAACGAGTCTCTCATAGATCATTAATTCTGAGAAGAGAGTTTGATCCACACTAGGTGCGCTATAGTTATGGACGTTTTAGTGCGCTTTGGTGTGCTGCAATATTTTGTGTGTTGTGTTGTAGACCATCAGTAGTGAGTTCGATCCTCAATGTTGATGACCTTTTGCCAAACTAAGGTAAGGTTAGGCGACAGTAACAGCTGGTCACGTTTTCGTGCGTGTGGCTAAAATAATTTCTGAAGATTTGGATCAGAGAGTGAATAAGAAATAATAATGGTCACATGAATGTTCTGGCACAAGGCAATCAGATTCAAGCGCTGTTTGAAGATCGAATTTAAAACAAGCGTTATGATACAAACTTACGAAATAATCAATTTGCTTTTATAGTATCTATCTGAAGTGTTTACCCATTTGAACAATTTTTTAATACGAATTCCTTCAGGTTGTCAGAAAACATTAGCCTCCACAGCTTCCTTTTAATTTGAATTCCTCTGAATTGCCATGGAAAGTTTTCCTGTTGCTTTCTCCAAGGTTTTGAAATCGATGTTGTCTTTCTCTTAGACTGATTGCTAACAGTCGAGAAGCATGTCTATCCTTCTATTTAAGCCATAGCTGAGGGTCAAGCTTATCTGTTATAAAAGATTTTTAAAGGACTTTTAAAAATAGATTTAGTAAGAAGATTGTTAGCATCAGTCATTGGCATTTGCGATGTGAATTGTTATATTAAAATTTAACGGCCGAGGATGTCTAAGGGTTGCCAGCTTGGCCTACGTATTGCAAATAGGGATATATTTGGAATAACTAAATTGTAATTGATTTTCTTCTCGGTAGTAAACCAAGTTAAAACAGCTAAACTTTTTAAAAAGTAACCAGAAAAACCACAAAGTGTGAAAATTCCAAATTTTTTGTCCAACTCTTGAAATTAAGTTTAAGTCGGAAATACGATAATGAACATTTTGTGAGAAATGAAAAACAAATTAAGTAAAATATTTTGATTTATTGTTTAAAGTCAAATCTACGAAGAAGGATTTGTATGAATTGATCTAAAAAAAAAAAAAAAAGATATAAAGAGATAATTATTGGTTTATCAAGTCTTTTAAATTTGAGGACGTTCATGAATATTCATCAGGTGGTTGAAAGGTCATTCAAAACATCCCGGACAAGGGAAGAAAAAAAAAACGACCAAAAGGCATAGATCTAAATTAAAGTGCTTAACACCTAGACTACTTGATATAAACAAAAATAGCAGGAGCCAACTATTATACTAAAACAATTAATAAACTAATAAAAAGAATTAAGTTCCTAAAATCAGGAAGAGACAGTTGGAATTACTTGGACATATAATGAGGAAGGAAGGCTTGGAAAACTTAACCCTCACGTGGGCATATTAAGAGCAAAGAGACAGAGGAAGACAGCGAGCTAACAAACTAATGTGAATGGATGACGGAACTGTAGGCGGGAACTATAACAAAACGATAAAAACTGCTGAAGGCCACAAGGGAGAGCAAGTTTTTGGAGAGCAAGTTTTTGGGGAGCAAGTTTTTGGAGAGCAAGTTTTTGGAGAGCAAGTTTTTGGGGAGGTCAATGATCACTATTGTCCTGAAGTGAGTGATTCATGGAAAAAAAGTCGCATCAGACGCTTCATTTCATTTGGAAAAGAACTTCTTGAAATTAAATGTTAAGATTCGATTGTTTTCGGTTGTCGTTGGTTTGTTTTTTTGGCTGTTTAGCGGCATATCAACACCTTAAGGGTCATTTAATGTCGAAAATTAATTTTCTTGGGAGCATTAGTAATTTCTTTTAAAAAATATATTGCTGTTAATTTTTTACTATGAGAATGTATTGATGGTATTTTTACTATAATTTCTTTTATAATTTCTTCGGGTTTTGACCCCAGTTTGGAGGTTAACAATTTGCCTATAGTTTTGACCCTAACAGTTACTACCACAGGGGGTCAGGGTGGACCTGGGAACAACAGCAATTAGGTAGTGTTTCCCGATCAAAGACCTTGCTGCCGAATGTAGTTTATCATCTTACCCAGAACGGGCCATCGTTGGTTAATTTCAAGAAGTCAAGAAATATCCAATATGGCGTTTGTAATGTTGTTAAAGTTTGAAATAAACGTTTAGCGTCACGCGGCAAATATGACTTTACAATTTAAAGGCATTTTAACACGTCAGCACGGAGACTAAAAATAAAGAAAATAATGTTATTAATAGCGTTTTTCATTTCGACAAATAGCTTGACAATTTTCCACCTGAAATGAAGCCACTAATTTGATAAGAGGAGAATCTCAACTGCCGAATAAATAGGACGCCCTATCTGTTCTACTTAACAGAACATGTTTGAATTAATAATTGCTGCCTACCTAAATTTACTATGTTTAACACACACACACACACACACACACACACACACACACACACACACACACACATATTAATGCATTTAGGAAGCAAATTCTCGTTTAGGCGAGTCTGATTGAATAAATTACAAACATTATATCTGCTTATTTTTAACGTAATCCTTTCATATACACAAATATTTTTCCGTATATTACAACTAAATAAGGCAAGAAATGCACTGTAGCAGTGAGAATTTTATTTCCCAAGTACTTTCCATTTCTTTCTGAGATCATCGGGGGTGCAACTGGTAAGGCAAAAGCCATGTGTAGCTATCCATTACATTATATCAAGAAAGAGATGGGAAGTACTTGGGAAATAAAAATGATTCTCACTGTTACAATACATTCTTGCCTTATTTAATTAATGAAAAAATACTCATGAAAGGATTATGATAAAAATAAGCAGATATAATGATTTCAACATATATATATATATATATATATATATATATATATATATATATATATATATATGTGTGTGTGTGTCTGTGTGTGTGATTGAATAATTTAGACTAGCTTTGACTAATTATTTTCAATTGGATCCTATTCATGGACATGCTTCTTAGTATACTTGTAAAAAAAGAATTACCATGCTGATACATATTCCTTTGTTCCAGTACTTTCGATAATGTCATCACCAAAAATTGGTAAGACATGTCTTAATAAAAACATTCTGCTAAAATAGCCAAAATATACGCAATATATATATATATATATATATATATATATATATATATATATATATATATATATATAAAAGTACTCAAAATTCGCTTGAGGATGAAATGGAACTAATGTCTTTAATTTAATTGCAAAATTAAATTCGTGGCTTTTTAGCTTCCATTTTGAAACATAATTAGAACAGTGTAGCGGAAAAAAACATATTTTAAATCAATTAATTTATAATATTAATGCTCTGTAAATTTTTTGAAAGGATTTATATATATATATATATATATATATATATAAAATCCTTTAAAAATGACGGTTGTTTAAATCAAGCAAGCAGATATAGATTTACGAGAAACATTGTCTCTTTAAAGAGGTAATTTAAACCCTCAACCTGACTGACTGGCTCTCGTGGCCGAAATGTTAGAGGCAGACTGAGGATTAAAAAGGAGGTCCTCGTTAATTTTACTGTTTAATAAAATTAAAAGAAAACTATATATATATATATATATATATATATATATATATATATATATATATATATATATATATAATGATGTATATATATATATATATATATATATATATATATATATATATATAATTATGTATATATATATATAATTATTATTATCATTATTATTATTATTATTATTATTATTATTGTTGCACACGTAATTTACCTGTGTTTGAGTTGTTATCATGGAGTTTTCTTTTTCATTTTATTAAACAGTAAAATTAACAAGGACCTCCTTTAATCCTAAGTCTGCCTCTAATAGTTCAGTCACGAGACCCAATCAGGCAGGGCAAGGTTAAATTAGAATTTTAAATTAAAGGTGTATATATATATATATATTGTAAGTTAAATGGTATATTTAGTGGGTATGTATATCATACACACACACACATATATATATATATATATATATATATAAATTCATACACACACACATATATATATATATATATATATATA